TACAGTGGGAGAATGTAGAATACAGTGTGAGAATGTAGAATACAGTGGGAGAATGTAGAATACAGTGTGAGAATATAGAATACAGTGTGAGAATATAGAATACAGTGGGAGAATGTAGAATACAGTGGGAGAGAGACAGTTCTCTCCCTGCTTCGGGATCTGGTGTCTGCCCTCAGTGGGCTGTGTCTTCCCATATTGACTAACTTAGGAAAGACAACTAAAGCTAACCGTCACAGCACACACACACAGGCACACACACACACACACGCACAGACACACAGGCACATACACACACGTACACACAGACAGACAGACAGGCACATACACACACGTACAGACAGACAGACAGACAGACAGACAGAGTCAGGAATGAGTAGATGGGAAGCAGAGTGATAAATACTTATTTAAAACGTACTCTACTTTTTGGGGATTATGTTGATTTCCAAAATTTAAAAACTTGTATTAGTTCTTTGAGAGTTTCATACAACATGCCTTGATCATATTACTCCATGCCTTGATCATATTACTCCCCCTTCCTTAATTCTAACTAAATGCAACCCTGCCCCCCTGCCCAGCCACCTTTTTGTCCTATTCATAGTTTTTGTTGTTGTTTAACTCAAGACCAGTTTTTGCCACCCAAATATTCTTGGATGTGTGGCCTTCCGTAGAAGCATGGCCAATTCACCAGAGGCTACACTTTTAGAGAAAATTCTCTCTCTCACTATCTCTCTCTCTCTGTGTCTCTGTTTCTCTGTCTCTCCCTCTTCCCCCACCCCCCGCCCTAGCAGCTAACAGTTGCCAATAACTCCATGGCTGGGAGTAGGATTTCATGGATAATTTTCACCTTCATGCTGAGATTTGCCTTGCATCCATCCTGTGTGCACTGTCACAACTGCTGCAAGTTCATACATTGAGCCACTCTGCTGTTTCCAGATGCCACAGTTTCCTTATAGTTAGTTCTCCACTGTCTGGGTCTTCTGCTCTTTCTCATCCTCTCTTCCTCAATGATCCCCAAGCCTTGGGATGAGAGGGTAGAATATATTGTTTCCATTTAGAGTGAGTCTCTCATTCCTTTGGCCTTGAGCATTTGCAGTTCACCGACTACTTCTCAGATGAGAGTTGAGAGAGGTACTGAACTGTGGATAGAACGATAAGTTATTAGGGGTTAGTTTAATCCAGCGCCAAGTTTGAACAGAATACTAGGTAGATTCTACCTTGGGGCCAATTACCCAACAAGCCATCTCTAATGGTGCTAGGTATGGTTTTCATCTTATGGGGTTGACTTAAGTCCAGTCAGGAAATGCTTTGTTACTTGTATGATGTTTGAGCCACTATCATACCAGTGGTCATGCCTTGCCAGGCCGGTCATTATCTTCCAGGGTTCAGAGCTGAGTATGACTGATGACTACTTGTTTCTTCTGGTAGCTTGCATAGCAGTTTCAAGCTCTGTGAACGATAGCCAGTGGGGATGACACTTCCGGTTTGGCTCCAGCTCGATTTCGCTGTGTTCTGTGATGACATGCGTGGCATCTTCAGAAGCAGGGTCTTAACTGTCAGGTTATGGAGAGTAACTGAGAGCATTAGCAATAGCCTGTAATGTTTGAGGACCAACACCTTACTATCCAACAACTCCAGAAGAAGTAACCCATTCTTGGCATTGAGCTTTTGTTTTGCTATCCTCTGGTGTCTAGTAGGAACATTGTTGTCCCTTAAGAGGTTGTAAGGTAACTCCCTTTTAACTCTGTGCTATGAGTCGGTATACGGACACACGTGGGAGGCTTCTGCAGTAGCAGATTTCCATTTGAGTCTTTTGAAAGGCATCTCGGTGCAAAAGCGCACACTCAGAAGCAGTTGGCATCTGGGTCATTTGGCATTTATTAGTGGCACTTTGAAAGCCACCTGGTTTTTGCCATCCTGTTACTGCTTCTTCCAGACATGGAAACAGCTCACAAACCTGTGCAGAGGAGCTTCGTAAAATTCACTGTGCTGGATGGTAGAGGGCTCGGTGTCTGCCTCCTGTTTCTCAACTTACTCACACTGGCTTACATTCAAAGAAGAATTAGAGAATACCTCTGTGTAGGAGTCATTGGCTTATCTGAATGAGCTCATAAAAGGAGATTTACTTTTTTCTGTTCGTTGCTGCACAGTCTCATTTCTTTTGAGTATATAATTCCCCTAATTATAATAAAAACAAATAATGCTAGTGCTAACTACAAACGAAATTCTAATTCACAGCACATCTGTACAACCTTTCAGGCACTAAGAAGCCCTGCTGCATGTAAGTGCCTGCGGTAATCACTGTGGAAATGTCAGAAATGATTGAACTCATTTCCAAAGGGAAAACCTATTACATTCTGTGTGGCCATAGCATGGCACAGGGGAAGAGGGAGCGCTTGCTCTGCTTTTCTTACTGCTGTCTCTCTCACCTTAAGAACACTCTTCCCTAAAAAGATCCGTTACAACTTTACTCTCCCTTTTATAATTATGTGTCCTCTGCTTTGATATTTTAGAATATACCCAAAGGTAAAACTTACGTTTATAGTGAATGTTGTTTTTATTTAAAAAAAAAAAAAAGAAAAAGAATATCAAGTTTCTTTGTGCCTCAGACTAGGGAGCTCTGTTTACAAGTGTCGACAGCACCCGGTCACCATGAGTGACCTTCCCATTTCCTTACATTTGTTCTCTTGGGGAATCTCTCCTCATATGTTTCCAATTTGATGAGTGGAGGGGAGGGAGAATAGAAGTTTGCAGCCCAGTTACCCCAGTCAGTTTTGTGTGGTTTTATTACAGCTGACGTAATTAGGAAGCCATACTCCGTTCTTTTAGGACAGGAGGGCAGGGGACTGAAGTTATTTCTTGCCTCTCTTTGACTGGAAAGAGGACTGTGGGGGTTCCTCTTATTCTTCTTCCTCCTCCTCCTTTTCCTTCCTCATTCCCCTTCTTTGTCCTGCCTATGTGCTGTCCTTCCTTTCTTCCTGTTTCTCTTCCTTTTTCCTTTGCTCTCTTCCTGTTCTTCCTCCTCCTGTTTGACTCCTACTTCCTGTTTTCCTGCTTCTTCTCTTCCTCTTCCTTCTCCTCCTCCCCTTCTTGGCTTTGTTATCTGTTCTGCCCCTTGACCTTTTGTGGTCAGCCTCATGAGACTGTCATTCCCTCCTAGGCATCGCTGCTGGGAGACTCTAGTCTTCCTTCCCCTATACACTATGTGTTGGAACCAAAGGGCAAGAAAGTGGCCGTTGTCAAAAGTATCCCTTGTCTGCTTACCTGAAAGTTCTCCATTCCCCTGAGTCACGATTCAGAGTCTTCATTTTAGTTGGTAAAGAGTCCCTGGGAACACTTGCTGTGTAATAGCTATTGTCTAAATAGCCCCTTTTCTTCTAGCAAAGGAATCACACAAGCCCACAGAACACAGGGTCTCATCAAATTTTAAGATTGTTGAGACAGCCTAACTTTGGAGTCATCCTACTCTGGGAATCCCCATCCTTCTCAGCTGGTCTACAAACTGTAACATGAAAATACTAACCATACCAATTAATTTTTGTTGTTGTTGTTTGCTTGTTTGTTGCTTGTTTTGTCAAGTTGACACAAGCTAGGCCATCTGGAAAGAGAGCCTCAATTGAGAAAATGCCCTCACCTAATTAACTTGTAGGCAAGTCTGTGGGGCATTTTCTTTATGAATATTTGATGTGGGGGGCTCCAGCCTACTGTGGGTAGTTCCATCCCTGGGCTGGTGGTCCTAAGTGCTATAAGAAAGCAGGCTGAGCAAGCCTTGAGGAGGAAGCCAGTAAGCAGCACTCTCCCATGGTCTCTCCATCAGTTCCTGCCCGACTTACTTTTATGATGTGAGCTGTAAGCTGAAATAAATCCTTTCTTCACTGGGTTGTTTTTGGTCATGGTATTTATCCCAGCAATAGAAATACCAAGTCAGAATCCTCCCTTTCCTCTTCTTCATTCACTCCCATGCTTCCAGCTCCACTATGCACAGGTGCCCCCATAACTCCTCCCTAAGTCCACAGCCCTTCATCAAACAACCTTTAGGAGTAAGACCTGAGACTCATGGCTGCCCCACCTGGGGATTCGAGCCGCTGGGTCAATATGGAAATAGAGATTGGTTGACATCTGTTTTGAAATACACTTCCTGAGTTTGTTCTATAGAGCCTGACATAGACTTTACTTTGAGACCTGGGAGTTGAATGTTCTTCTTCCTTCTAGAATTTTGGTTTCAAAACTACTCTCTTCTGTAAGAGTAAGTAATGCATTGAGATATGAAGGGCGGAAAGCCCCTATGATTCCCAGGGCCTTGAGTTCTGAGAAGATGGAGCACTCACGCCAAGGGAGGTGTTGGCAGGACTAAAATAGTACTGCAGGGTTGATCCAGAGCCTCAGTCATGTAGAGAAGGAGAAGGAACCAACTGCCGGTGCTTCTTAAAGGCCCCAGTCCTCTCCTTCAGCCCCTCTCCCTATTTAGTTTCTGGCTCTCTTCCACTTTAGGCCAGAAGTATTTGAAGCCACTATATTTTGGTCTTTAACAGTCGCCACTGTTCTGAAGTGACCCCACTGTAGTCGCCACCCAGCCAGCTCAGAGATCTGCCAGCGTCACCCTAAGCTCTGACTTGCCTCAGCCTGACTTCACTCTGTGGATTATATTTGACTTCGTGCCTAGCAGCTGCCAGTGTTGGTTCGAATGCTTGAAATTACTGAGTGTTTACTGTGCCTCTGGGTGGGAACCTCGGGCTAAATGCAACATCCTTTCCTGTGAGTTGAGCTGTGGAAAACTTCAAAGGCAATAGAATGAAGCCCAGCCAGATAGGAATTATGGGTCCTTTTGGAAAATCTTAAATTAGATAACATTGAATATGTGTCAGGGGTGGGTAGCAATGGCAACCTCTGACAAAATCAGGAGCATATTTACTGAAACTCTTTCTGGGCCTGTGCTAGCTCAGGGACATTGACTAGATAAGGATTTTCTGTATAACATATCATCTGTAATTAGCAAGCACCACAAACATGTTCCATGTGGCATGGCTCGGGTAATTCCTTTGCTGGAAGAAAATGGGCTCTTTAAATAGTAGGAAGGGCAGGTGTTTCCAGTACAGTTTGTAATGACTGAGCGCCCAGGGAAACGTTCCCTCATTCAGGGAAATCCTTTATAGGCACGCATGCCATGAACTTCTAACAGTAGTGCAGCTCACTTTTGATTCTGCTAACCCTCGTATCTCTAGATACACAGAGAGTTAACTTTTGAGTGTGGAGCCACTTGATCCTGCTGTTTTCTGAGGTTTTTTTAAATTTAATTTAATTTAATTTTTTGTTATTTACCCCTTTTCTCTCTTCTTTCAGAGCTCGTCGATCTGCCCTTGGTAAAGTTTGACTTTTCCTGCAACAAAGTGCTGGTGATTCCCGTCTGTTTTAGGGAGATGAAGCAGCTGCAGGTGCTTCTGCTTGAGAACAACCCTCTGCAGTCCCCTCCAGCTCAGGTGAGGATCTGCCTAGAGCCAAGGCCAGGGCTGCACTGTAGTGGTATGTGTGACCCTTCATAGAGCCCCTGCTATGATTGTCTGAACACCCGAAGCTTCGCTAGGCATGATGGGATGCAGTCAGCATCCTCCCCTTCCCCCTAACACACAGTAAGACTTTCAGTAAATCTGACTGATTAGTTGCCTGAGGCAGCATCACATCTGTGCTCATGTCCCTGTCATCCTTCCTGAACCATCCCAAGGCAGAGTTACAGGTTTGAAAACGTACCGCTCAGTGACACATTTGAAGCTTGTCATAGATTGACCTACACAGGGCGTAATATGTTCTTTATTATTTGGAATTAGCTAGGAAAACAGAATTTAAACATCTTAAAATATGATTATTGACATTTTTGAGACACAGATCAACATGAAACATAACATAAAACTATGAGAACACTACATAGTACAAATGAAAATGCTTTACAGTTTATTTTCTTTTTAAATAATGTAATGACTTATTAAATCTATGATTATCTTTTAAACTCTTAGTTGCTATCTGGACCTGTGCTTTTTTTCCACCTTTTGTAGTTGGACTTACTACCAATGCTGTCTGAATTTTTTTTTTTAATACATTTTACACTCTTTTCACTTAAATATGTTTTTGTCAGAATTTAGTAGTTTCAAAAGGTTAGGGATTTCTTGATCAGGATTTTCTGCTCAAAGTAGAACTTGGAGGAAACAGTCCTAAGAATTGTTGTGTATTTAGTGTCCATTGTTAGAGGGTTACTTACCATGACATTCTGAAGGTTAAACTGTGTGGTCAGGGACCTGGAACTTACATCTTGTTTTGTCACTAAGAAATAAATATGCATTACTGATTTCTCCGCAGATTTGCACGAAAGGAAAAGTACACATATTTAAGTATCTGAGCATACAAGCATGCCAGATTAAGACCACCGACTCCCTTTACCTCCCCACCATAGAAAGGCCCCATTTACACCAGCATGTGGATGACAGGTGAGTTAAATGCCTTCCTTCCTGAAAGAGCCTGCTTAGAATGTCCTTCCACAGCTGCCTAGGTAACCTGATGTCAGGATCCATATGCTTTATTTGTGTGATTCACGTTGATGACTTGGAGTTTGAGAAAATAATGGCGTACAAAAAATTGATGCTATGGAGAATCTCTAATCCTTCTAATGTAGCCTCTCCTCATCAATAGTCAGTGCTTCCTGCGTATGTGTGTAGATGCTTCTAAATAGGATCTGTAATGGATTTTATGCTTACAGTTATCACAGCTATATCAAATTCTATTGTAAAAACTGTTACATTTTTTAAATTGGTGTTTTTAAGCTGGGTGTAGCAGCATGCACCTGTGATCCTGGCACTTAGGAGACAGGGTTAAGAGGATCATAGATTTGAGGCCAGCCTGAGCTCTGTGTGTGTGTGTGTATGTGTGTATGTGTGTATGTGTGTGTGTATATATATATGTATATATGTATATATGTGTGTGTGTGTGTGTGTATATATATATATATATATATATATATATATATATATATATATATATGTCAAAATCCTATCTCAAACCTGCTGTTCTTGATTGAATGACTGTATCATGAAACATGTTGAGAGTTATCAATTTTCTATGTACTTGCATGCTGTTGTATCTTAACACTGTTAAGATCTGCAGGCTTCAGTTTTTAAAATGTAGAATGTATAGGTTTTTTCCCCCCCATTTCCTGTTTCATGTTTAAGTGTTAGAATCCTTTCAAGCATCCTTGGGCCATTTGACAGGCCTCATGCATCCAGAGAACAGAGTAACCACAGTGTGACCCACTTAAAGAAACACACATTTTTCTTGAGAATTTTACAGGGCAAAGATCTTTCCCTTTGTGACTTGCTAAACAGACTGACTTAGAATTTCAAGCTATCCTAATGGCATTTTCAAAATAACACTTTAAATATGTGTTGATTATTTTATGTTTATATTACAAGATATATAATTAAATACTGGAAAGGTTTTCAAAATGGTTGAAAATAATGTTTTAATACCTGTGACATAGTTATAAGTCTTACTGCTTTTATATATGTATCAATAAGATAAAATTAGTAACTGTTTTAAAGAAATAAGTTGTCCCTCAGAGGAAGAAACCCTGAGTACAGAGAATTTATGATGTCCTCGGCAGGTGTATGCTTTCATTATGGGTGTGTGATCTTAATAGGTCTTAGAACTAGACTGACTTGTTGCCATATATTAATAACCTCAATAATGAATGATGCGTTTTCTATAATGAAGTCATAATCACATTATTAATCAGCATATCTTCATGTCAACTTTGTGGTTTTCAATTCTTTTCTTAACAAACTGAATATTGATGACGTCTGCCGCAGTAAGAAGGACTCCGATTCGGGGGTTGGAAGCGATAACGGAGATAAGCGGTTATCTGCCACCGAGGTAAATCTGTAGATCACAGCATTGCCCTTCATTCTGCGTCCGTCTGTCTGTCCACCAAAGTCTTCCTCTAGAAAAAGCCACTGGCCCATTCGAATGATCTGAGTTGACAGTTGAATCACGTGTGAGTGCAGCTTGGAACCCCTGAGGAGTGTGTGGATGTCACTCAGTGTACCTCAGAGTCCCTGTCTTTCCTCATCCCACTCCCACATTATCTAGAATGAATGTTAAGAAATAATACCAAGTATTAGTATGAAGCACTATGGCGAGTATACCTGTTTTTAATGGTACTTCAGGGAAGCGTGGTTAGATGCATCCCTATGTGTTACGGAATCAAGTGTGCATTGCATGTGATAGCTTATTCACTGCGATGTCTGTAACTAGCTGTTGTATTTTTAAAATCTTTAAGCTAATCCATGTGTTCAGAGGTTGCAGATGTGTCACGGCCCACGTGTAGTAGTCCAAAGGCAGCGTGCAGGAGTCAGTTCTCTCCTCCCACCCACATGGGTCCCAGGGTTGAACTCAGGCAGGCCATCAGGCTTGGCACCAAGCACGCTTTCCTGCTGAGCCAGCTTGCTGGCCCTTACCTATACTTTTAGAAACAATATTTGTATTTCTGGTACTTCAGCTGCCTTGTGTTCAGAAAATTAAATTTATGCGTAAGCTCAATTATGTCAGTCTGGCATGATAGACCTTCTGCCAGTGATAGAATGCACCATTCGTATCTTTTTTGGCCTCATGTGTGGTCTGTTGGATCCCAGAGGGGATGCTTGAGGTTGCAATGACTAGGCCAGTTACCTCCCCCCCCACACACACACACATCACATTTTTTTATCAGGTGTGACTTCAGGAAAAAAAATTTCCAGTTCTCTGGTAGCTTTAGTAAGCAGATAAGTCTATTTTCCACAAAATATGCTGTAACATTGTATATCTAAAAACAAAATAACCTGAAGTCCTCCTTGGCTGGGGAGATGAGTTTGTTTTGTAAAATACTTGCACATAAGCATGAGGACCTGAGTTGAGCACAGAGCCCCTGTACAACCCAGGCGCAGAAGTGTGAGCTTGAGATCACACTGTGAGGAAGAGAGAGACAGGAGGAGCCCTGGAGCTGCAGGCCAGCCAGCTCAGCTAAAGCAGTGGGATCCAGGTTCAGTGAGGGGACCTGACTCAAGAAGAATGTGGAGAGCTAACGAGAGAGATGCCCAGCATTTCCCTCTGGCTTCCACATGCTATACACACAGGGACACATGCTCGCGCACACACATATAAAAAACAAAAGTTTCTCAGAATTTATTTTTTTTAAGAATTTTTTTTTTAATATCTCGAAGAAGAGTCAGTAGGAAGCAAAAGGCATCCAGTATCTGTGTGAGGCAGCGACCTACATGAAACCACATGACAGTTGCTCGTGGTTTGCCGGTGGGGTTGGAATGCTGAACGCATTGCTTTTTTATGTTACATTCTCTTTAACTCCCTGAACTTCATGAAAACTCCTAAGTCTCCTCGAATGGACGATTGTCACAGAAACTACCCACCCTGGGCTTGTTTTCCATTAAATTAAAACAAGCTCTCCTTTATCTCTCTTGGAAGAGTAATTAAGTTCATTAATAAAACATCACGGAAGGAACTTCATTATCCTTCCCTTACTTATAAGTAGGATGCTAATAGCATTCTGAAGAGAGCCCAAGGATTTATTCTCCCCCTTTAATTAACTGCAGATCTTTGGACTTTTGCTAGCTGTAAGGGTAGGAGGTGGGTGGAGGGAAAAGGGGACTGTAGAAAAGATTATAATTCAGTAGAATAAAACTCGTCTTTCCTTTGTCTTTCTTACCTCACTTGCTGGCTTCATTGTCTGAGTACATCTCTGTGATACTTAGTTTTTTCAAAGTGGTAAGGTTTTGAGTTATACCACACAGTGTGTTACTTCTAAATTTTTTGGTCGAGATCACTTCCCATTTACACCTCACTGTTGGGGTCAGTATCAGTAGTCAGGCCTATCCCCTTTCTCTGATGGATGCCACCATCTGATTGACTTAACATTGGTCGCGAACATAGTAAACACATAGTTTTCTCAAGATAGTTAAGCAAAAACTTGTGGGGATCTATGAATATTTGTTTGGTGAGTGAAATTCATGCTTGCACTCTGACGTTTCTAAATGGTCTGCGCATGTGTCCAAGAGCAAAAATTGCTTCAGGAACTGGCCAGAAATGTGAGAGCGCTCTGTGGAGGGCCTACATCTTGTGGCTTAAGATGCTCGTCACTTATCCCTAAATAACAACACTAAAATGGAGATAGCGAAAATGAGGATTTGTATCTTAACTTGTGATTGTAGATTTCTGAGTAGACTGTGTTGGCTAGCGTGGTGAAGGAGACGTCAGAGAGAATAAACTCCCGTTACTTCATAGAACCTTTGTTTTATAAGTCGCACAGAACACCCTTTCCTTATACCTAATACCTAATAACACTGTCACCTGCCTGGTACTGCTTCCTCAATGCAAATCAAGGCTGGACACCGACCCTTAATATCTTAAACAAAACGCACCCTTGGTTGACTTCCTCCTTTGTGTGGCTACCCACGCAAAACCTCCATGTAGTTTTGGTAGACCTTAGTGCACCTCTCCTAGTTTATGATTTAGGGCTATAGTTTGTCTATAGTTTGTTATATTGGATATTGCGTGGCCCTTTAGTGCCTTGACTGTGGCTGGAAGTTCAGACAGGGAGTAACCAGCGGAGACTTCAGCCCATGCATCTGTGTGGAGGTGTACGTGTAATGTTAGCACTGTAAATCTGTACTCATAGAGAGCTCCTGTTCACAAAGCAGAGCCTCAGCAGCCGCCCTCAGAGTCTCAGGTGCATCCCCACCATCTCTGTGAACAGCCACTCTCCCATTCTGACATCACCATCAGTTGCTGTTTCTGAATTTCAATAGGGAGGATTTATCTCTGCTGTCTTTTAAGTGACATGCTGTTTGTAAGTTCAGGATGCTGCTTTATGTGCACCGACAAGCCCTCTCCCATGAATGATCTTATTCCCTGTATCTTTTTAGCCCTCTGATGAGGACACGGTTAGCCTCAATGTGCCCATGTCAAACATCGTGGAGGAAGACCAGACCATCAAGGAGGACGTCTGCCATTGTCTCACCCCAGCTAAAGGTCTGAGAGCGGTGTGTGCAGAGAGAGTGCTTGCTCTGCAGGTTCAGCTAGGCACGGGGCTTGCGGCACCACATACAGATGTGCAGATGATCAGCTACTTTTCATGTCACACATCCTGTGAGCCAGCTGTCATGCCCGCAGGGAGCGATTTCATTTTGAGTCTAGGTAGCTCTTCTGTCTCTAGTGCAGGTTGGGGAAAGCAAGGCTCAGACACGGAATAACTTACTCGTGCTTTCATAAGCCATCTCTGCTCCGTACAGTTAGCAGTATACTCCTCATCCTGGAGAGCATAGGAGAGTCTTCAAATTCATTTGTGAAAAGAAAATATTGATAATGATGGATAAGACCTAGGACAGCTCTAGCAGCTGTCGTAAAATCTCCAAATCTCAGTGAGAAGTTGGTAGATGGCAGACAACTGGAAGACCTGCCTGTGCTCCACGAATCACTGTTAGCATGGACTCCCGGAGCCTGACATCCATGTGGGTCAAGCTAGAGGGGTGTGACATGGAGATTCTTGGGGATGGGGCATTATGGGTGGGCCTAGAAGTGCCCATCATTTTTAAGATGGACTTCATCCCCCAGTCATATCTAACACACTTGAGGGTGGGAAGTGCACTTGAGGTACAGGCTTGGGAATCTGTTGTGACTGTAACCAAGTCAGCTGGCTGCTTCCATCCCCTGTAAAGATGGTTAGATTAGCTGGTCTGATCTTTGTAACTTTTATATTTTGACTCTTTGGTAGTCATGGAGTGGTTGCTAAACACAGTAGATTAAGTGCCTTCTGAATCATCATAGGAGCCATACTGCCATAGATAGTTGTGGTAGTTTGTTTTTTTGTTTTTTTGTTTTTTTGTTTTTTTTGGCTCTTGTTTGTTCAGTGACTTTAAAAGAAAATATTGAAATTTATCATTCATGATTTGTGATACAGAGTGGAGAATGTTGTACAGGTAGTGTAGAACTGTATGAGTGATATAGATCAAAGCCCAGTGGAACTATGTTCCTTTTAAAAATTCTTCCCTTAGATTTATTTATTTTATTTTATGTGTGTCCACGATTTGCCTGCATGTATGTAAGCATATCTTGAGTGGGGCTGGTACCTGCAGAGGTCAGAAGAGGGTACTCGGTCCCCTGGGATTGGAGTTACAGATGGTTGTGAGCCACCATGTGAGTGCTGGGAATGGAACTCGGGTCTTCTGTAAGATGAGCAACTGTTCTTAACTGTTCAGTCATGTCTCCAGGCCCAACATGTTCTACAGAATTAGAGAGCATTTTAAAGCTACTCAGACACTTCCATGTTTTCTTTCACCTCTTAGATTTAGGACACTTGTATTTTATTTTGTTTGTTTAAAACAAGGTCTCCCTACGTAGCTCAGACTGGCTTGGAACTGTCTATCCTCCTGCCTCAGCCTCCCAAGAACTGGGATTGTAGGAGAGTATCACCACACCCGAGTCTTAGATTTAGATTTTTAAATTTTAGAGAGCTTAAGGGAAGCACTAAACGTAGAGCCGGTGATGGAAACCAAACCCAAAAATATAACTGAATTCTTGCAAGAAAAAATGTAGCTTCTGCTGAATTGATTAATATAAACTTTATAACAATATGGAGTATTTGGGGGGTCATATTTTAGACAAATTCTTTTTTAAAACTTTAAATGTTGTTATCTATTCTTGTCTCATGTGTTCCATCCCAGAGATGAGTAACAAAGCTGTACCCTCGACATCTTGCAGAGTTGCTATTTAAAGGACACCCTGCTTTCCCCTATTTATTCTTCAGTCAGAAGGGTTCTCTTTGCTGTCCCCTTTTCTGCATTCTGCCTGTTGGAACAGATGAGTCCTGCCCCAGCATGGTGTGGCTTCTTCTGCAGGGACTTTCTTGGGTGATTTCTATTGTCTGTAGGATCTGGGTCTCTTGGCTTGGCTTGTCTCACAGTTCCTTAAGGTTACTGGTTGATTAAGGATGGAAGTAATTTAATCCCACAATGTATATGCAGATACATATCTAAATGGCATAATGATTTTCAGGTAACAGTGGTCAGTATGTTTTGTTGAACTTAGAACTTGTAATAATTAGCCATATATTTCTAAAAACACCAAAACGCTTTTATAACTTTCTCAGTCCATTAAAGGCATGAGAGGACATTGCATTTCTTTCATGGGGAGCTAAAACTGTGAAGAAGCCTTGAGTTTTAATACTCAGTTTGGAGTCTTCTGTTTATTTTCTGTTTCTTCTTCTTCTCCCATGTTTGATTTCCCCCTTACACTCTACAGAGACAATAAATTGTAGGTTGCTCACGAGCCTCGGCAGCAGGTGAGGGAGGGGCTGGTTGTGTGTTTGAGGACCTGTGTGTGCTTCATGCTTCTGTCTTTGAAGTCATGCTTTCATGCTTTCTCTGTGTTTTCCTGACAGGAGAATTTCAGCCGAAGCCTTCCCTTTTGGGTGACAGTGGCAGCTCAGGACAAGACAGAGAGCAGTTTGCCGGCCGTGCAGATGTTCTACACTCTGGACTTATGAACTATCTCAAGGCAAGGTTTTACAGCTCAACTCATTTTCCTCTGCTTGGGACCTTAGGATTCAGATCCAAAGGTTTCAGCGGAATGTTTCAGTCCAGCCTCCTATCCTCTCAAAGCCTCCAGCATGTCCTCCCAAAGCTCGAGGCTCTTTGTCTTCTTCCCAGATATTGAGAGCTGGCCCCCACCATGCTTGTCTCTAGACTGTTTATAAATGGTTTTTGTTTTTCTGACTCAGGACTTGTTCAGCCTCTTCTTAAGTCACTGAACCTCACAATTGACAGGTTTATCAGAATGACCCTGACCAATATGGAAGTTCAAAAACTTTCATTTTCCTCATGTTTTGCATTTACGTGTTTTGTGTGAATGCTTAGATGGTTTATGTGAATGCTTAGCTTGAGAGCCCAGGCTGTGCCTTTTTTAATCCAACATCCTTAAAACTAGAAATGTCCTAGATTGCTGGGCTTTTCAGATTTTTGGAATGTTTATATAGACATTACAGAACAAGGATCCCTAATCCAAAAATCTGAAATCCACAATGCTCCAAAACTAGAAGCTTTAAATTTTACATGGCTCGGAAAGTTTCAGTTCCATGGGCTAACAAAATGGCTCCTGTACAGTTGACAGAGGGCAACTGGTGGGAATCAGTTCTCTCCTCCCACTATGTGGATCCCAGAGATTGAACTCAGATCATCAGGCTTGGCAGCAGGCACCTTGACCTACTGAGCCATTGTGGTAGCCCCTCACCCATGCTACCCAGAATTCCCTGGAATCACCTCTCTTGTCACTGGGAGGAAAACAAACTGACCTTCACTTGTACTGCTTGAGGCTCTGGTGTGCTGTGGCCTTCTTCATGTCCTCAAGACTGAAATAATGAACTCGGCAATTCCATAGTGAACATGACTTAGTTTGTACAGCGTGACAATCTAATACAATTACAGAAACATACAGAAGGTAAAACATAGACCACATAGTCTTTATGCTACTCTAGCTTGTCAGCTTTGGTGCTTTCCTTTATCTTGTATCTCCATCAACATCGCTTTGGCTGGGTTCATCATGTCTCGCTGTGATGGTTACAGGTGCCCACTCCAGCTCCTCAGCCAACATGGTCCCCATACATATATACATGTGTGCACATAATATATACTCTATATTCTGCCACAAGCTATTTTCTCAGTGCACAAATGTGCTCACATTACTCCCATAAGGTTCTCCTACATCTGACCCCTGTCTCTCAGCTTTGGGGGACAGGTCAATCATTAGAACATGGAAAAATGATTTTGTCTTCATTTCATCAAGAATCTCTCTTAAAGTTGAGACTAAAAATAGAGCACTTGAAAAAAAATGTCTTTAGAAGAGACAAGCTCCGGTTCAAGTTCCAAAGGAAATCCAAGTGATTAGTAGAGCACAGTGTCCCCTGGATTCAGAGAGTCCCAGGATGCCAAGCACCCTGGGGCTGGCTGCTGTGGAGGGTGGATCCTGAGGGCAGATAATCAAGGAGCAACCATGTGTGAGGCTTGACTTCTGTTTTGTGACCTGTGAGTGTGCCAGGCTGCCCAGCACACTGGCCATTAAAAGCCCTGTGTTTTATATAATCCGGCCTTATTTACCAAACTGGCATCTAGTGCTTTTGTTACTATGACCCGTTTTTTTTTTTTAATCACTCATAATAGTTTTAATGCATGAAACCACTATGCATGTTACATTATCCAATAACAAGCTAGTCTACTCAGAGGAAATACAGAGTTGGATTTCTGAGAGCCTTTGGTTACATTTTTGTCAGACAGTACAAAGCCTTGTTTCATGTGTGTTTCTGTTTAGAGGCACCTGGCTCAGTGTCAAGTCAGTCATGTTTTAATGATCGAGACAGGGTCTGAGAAATATGTTGTAACAGAATTGCATCACTGTGCACTTGCTGGCCTTGGATGGCTACAGCTTCTTCAGCAGTATAACCTATGATGCCTGCATGTATTGGTTCATTAGCCCTGAATTCCCTAACACTGTAGTGCATACCTGTACAAAGCCTACCTAACATGTTGTTTCTTTATGGGGTACTTTGGAGTTGTTTTCAGAAGTTGTCTAGGAAGATTAGTCAGTATCTCAGCATTATATTTCAGGCCCACTTAGAACCCAAAAGGCACAAACATAAAAAGTACACTAAGTAGACCAATAGCAATGCTCGCTCAGTTTCTACTATGAGAACTGGAACCAGAAGCAGAATGTTCCTTATCCTATCTCACCAGGGTTCTGCTTGTGTTGGTTAATCACTTGTGTGTATGTGTGTGTGTGTATGCTTATGCATGTGTATGTGTGTATATGAGTGTGTTTACGCATGTGTATTTATGTGCATGTATGTGTATGTATGTGTGCCTATGCATGTGAATATGTGTGTGTATACATGTGGATGTGAGTTGTATGTGAGTGTGTGTATGTGTGTTTATGTGTGTGTATATGTGTGGATGTGAGTGTGTATATGTGAGTTGTATGTGAGTGTACGTGTGTGTGACTCACAAGTATCCAAGCACTGCTTTGGAAACTGCAGATGAATGTGCCAGTTCTCAACTACTGCCTAATTTGCAAAAAAAAAAAAAAAAAAAAAAAAAGCTTAGCAGGCTAATGTCAGCCTGTTCTGTGTTCTAAAGAACAACTACATGTTTTATTGACTTTTCTGAAGCTTAAAAATTATAAGACAAACCCCCAGGCCTTTGCTAGTAGAAGCCTAGAAGACCTGGGACAGGTCGCTTTGGACGTGTCACCTGGAAGTCTGATTTCATGGACTTCACCGTCTTTTGCTGAGTGACAACATAGTTCGTTTACATGTTGACTTGTTGTACACTGAAAGTACAGCCTAGACAGAAAAGGTCTGAGTGTTTTTTCAAACACTCTCCTCAGGGAAAGTCTCCTTCTAAAGAGACACTAGAACCAATGGAGATGTGCCCGACAACCCACAGTCAGATGTTCTTTCCCTAATAGGGAAATGTACCCGCTCCAGGGTGGCTCTCTGCCAGTGTGGGTCCAGCCAGGACACTTTCCTTGTCTGAGGAGAAAGCCCAAGGAAATACATGAAAGGCCCACAGTGGACACAGCTTTCTAAGGATTTTCTCTCAGTGCAGTGTCTCTGGAGAGCTTTGGCGTGGGAGGCTCAGTGAAGACATCTGGGTGTCCTGTCACTTTTTCATATGAAACTACTGTTTTCAGTGCAGGGCCTCTCCTTTTGTTAAATACCAATAAGTTGAATTAACTAAGGAACTCAAGTAGACTTTATGTTGCTTCTATCTAATAGAAGTTGTGATCCTAAGACAGCTTGTTGTTGTTATTATTATTATTTTATTATCATTTATGTTTTAATAAACATAAATGTGGTAAATACATATAAATTATAAAATCTTTTACCTGTAAGATTTTTTTGAAGCAAGGTCTTGCTAGAGAGTGCAGGCTATCCTTGAATTCATGGTCCCTCTACCTTCCTTGACCTTTCAAATGCTGAAATGCAAATGCACACTACCCGTACACCACAGATGATTTTAGCCACACTTCAGTTGCACACTGTAGCTTGTGTTAACTATATATTGTTACACTATTCTGTTACCACTAAAACCTTTTTCATTCTTCTGAACTGAGACTATCACTTAAATCTTCCCACTGTGCCTCCTCTTTCTGACAATCACTGCTCTGCTTTCCTTCTCAATAAATTTGACTATTACAAGTACCTCACATGTGTAGAATCGTGTGTGTGTGTGTGTGTGTGTGTGTGTGTGTGTGTGTGTGTGGTATTATTTCATACTCAAGGTTTTCTGTACGTACTGTAGTAATGTCTTCCTTGTAAAGAATATTCCATTATATATCCTTAGTGTTCATGTCAGTAGACAACTGGCTTGGTTTTGCCTTTGCCTCTCGTGACTCACACTGCCATGGATACGGACTGGAACCAGTTTTAACTCTTCATTGAAAAGCCCATGTGCTCCATCCATAGGACCAGGCAGATGACTGTGAAGAGCTATTGCGGATAGAAGAGGATGCTCACTGGCAGATGGAGGAACTGTGAGTGCCAGAGCTGGGTCATGGGCCATCATTCCTCTTCAGATACTCTGGCAGCCATGTCCTCATAGATTTTGATCCACTTTTCTGGGCAAGCCTAGAATCTTCCCCAGTCATACAGATAAGAAGTTTCCAGTTTTCCTATGACTCTTGTTACAATATTGGGCCGTACAGTCTATCTTCATTTGTGCTACCCACATAGATTGGGTAATGTATACAGCACAAGTTTGTTTGGCTTGCAGTTATTGGTTTAGAAGTCTAAGATCCAGAGGCTGTGTTTAGTGAGAGCTCCTTGGCCTATCATAACCCAGCAGAAGCTGTCCCATGGGAAGAGAATGTGAGAGGTGGAGACAGAGCTGAGCTCCTGTGGATAAGGAGCTACCTCCTGTACAAATAGTGCCCATTGTTGCCTTGGAGGTCCTAGAGTCCCTGATCATGGTCCTATGCCTAACACTGCTCTCGTCGGCTTTGAGTTTTTTACACATCAAGTTTGGGAGATACATTCAAACCATAGCACAACAGAAAGCTCTACTTCTTCGTTGGCCTTGAGTTTTACTTGAGACTGTCAATAAAAATATTAACAGTGAGAACATCTTCTACCTTCCTTCCATTTTCCTTGAAGAAGCCAATAGCCACACCTAATGCCTGGAGAGCCAGTCCCCTTCAACCATGGTCTTTTGGTTCAAATCTTTGAAAAGCATTTCTCCATTGTCCTGGTTGCCAATCTAATAGCTGTCATAGCTAGCTTATATTAAATTCTGTGTGCCTGGCATTGCTTTATTTCATCGGCAGCAGCCCAGGTAATCTTTGCAACACTCCTAGAAGCTCTGTTGTCTGCCATATTACAGATGATGAATTTGAGCCTAGATTGGTGATGTGTTTCTCTCCAAGGCCAGAGAAGGCTTACATTTGACACTGAGGAGTCTTTTACCAAGTGAATATCTGGATTTTTTTTCTCTACTATATATAAAGATGTAGTTGGCAAGAATTCCAGGGAAGCAGATGAATGTCTCAACAGAAAATGAACCTCTTGCATGAAGTTGACTTGGAACCTGTAGCCTCGTGTAGACGTTTAGTTCATAGGTTTTTGCTGTCTGTGGTGTGGGATGTATGTAGATTTTGACGACCTTCCACTATACTTTGTGGGCATTATTTTTTCCTTTAAAAGGTCTGGTCAAATTGTTAAAAATGTTCTCTACTAGTAGGAATTCATTGGCTTACATTGTGTGGCAAGAAGAGTAGGCAACTGTGATCAAATTTCTCTTGCTGGGAAGTCCCTCTGTATCACTCCATCTTACCAGCTGCTTATTGGATACACTTCTGAGAGGGCAAGGAGGCCTGACTCAGTGTAGCATCATAGAATCACGAGGGAAGAAAAGTGAGGCCAGATAAAGCTTTGGAAACCCCATTATCAGTTTCACATCTCTTCTCAACCCTGACTCTAAAGTCAGGATCATCCATGCAGCTTTCTTAGAAGGCCCGTCTTTACTTGAGGTTGTATTTGCTTAGGCGTGTTGAGGCTGGTTTGTTTCATAAGCTCCACAGTTGTTTTCCTGCATTAAAGAATCAGGCCTGAGAGCTACTGTCCCACACTGAGCCCCTCACATGGAACCAGAGTTGGAAGCCTTAGAACTGATACAGCTCCACTCTGGGGAGCCAGCCTGATCTTATGGGAAGACACAGTGGTCTTGTCTGTTGCTTGACTGGCCATGGGAGCAAGTGGAAGCCTGGGAGTCTGGAGATGAACTGAGCTTTCCCTGCCCAGGGACTTCTCCCACCTCCATAGGACCCACCTGCAAGATGCTCACATGTCTTCATTTCAGTACTGAGTTTGTCAGAATCCTTTTCAGAAGGTTAATGGGGTTTTGCGAAGATGCGCTTAAGATGTCCTAATAATCATTCTGCATTCACACTTGGTTTTATGTTACAGACTAAATTCATCCAAAGGCCGGGATTTGGATATAGCGATGATTGAGCAGCTGAGAGAGGCAGAGGACTTGCTTCAAGATCCTAACGGGTACGCACGTCTGTTCCTGGCCTGGGTCCTGTGTGTAAATGAAGGCTGCTAACTCACTGAGCATATTATGTCACCACCTAAGACATTTATACCAGATTTGGCCGGGATGTAACCACTAACAAAGTGAAGTCCTTTAGTTGCCTATTCCCCAAGATCCAAAGTAGAAGAATCAAATTTCCATAGCAATTGAAACCAGTTTCCTGGTCCTAGTCTCTTGTGACATTCATATGGCATGTTTGGTTTCATTTATAGAAAACAGAAATATGGTAGAAGTACAAAAAGTTTCTACTGATTTATAAACATAAGAGGAAAAACCCTACTAAAAAATGGAAATTTAAAACTTGTATTTATTTCTGATAGTGCCAGATGTATGATAATCAGTTAATATGTTTCTAAAGACTCTGGTTGTAGGTTCTTTTTTAAATTTGAATTCAACCCTGTCAGGAACATGTACTGTACCAGAACTTCCCAACAGACTTCCAAGTGATATTTGTCAACTTGCCAACTGCCATGTTAAAATCATTTTATGTTGGACACTTTCCTTTTCACTATGTTGGCTACTTCCTATATTTGTTCTTTATTTTAAAATAATTACAATAAATTTGACAAGTTTAATTTTTCTGATAATATTCTTGTGGGCCAATGAATTGTTAATTTTTAAACATAGCAGTCTAAGTCAGAAAGACTTTGCAGTCGAACCTAAATGTCATCAGTGGTGTGATGTCACTATCTTAGCAGCTTGGCTTGCTTCTGTAAATATGCAGTGTTCTAGATAAATTTAGTTATGTGTGACCCTTGACAATCATGGCTTCTTCAGACATTATTATGGTCTTTAGTACATAAGTTGGAGTTCAGTTAAAAAAAAAAAACAAAAACAAAAAACCAACCAACCAACCAACCAACCAACCCCTGGTACACCATTGGGAGAGCCACATGCGTTTGGAAAAAATTTCTGTTAATCTCAAAGACAAGCTTTGCTTGTCAGTTAAGTGTTTGAACTGCATGGAGTTTGTAGAATAAATCAGAAGTTTGATGTTTTCGTTCCTGTCTGTTCTCCCTCCTCTTTAGTCTAAGCACAGACATTACAGAGAGAAGTATTTTGAACCTGTACCCCATGGGCTCATCAGAAGCCTTAGAATTCCCCGATCCTTCACTCAAGTACGTTCACCTTTTGTAATTCAGTGTATTTTCTCTTCTTAAGACAATGTGTTCATGTTTCAAAACCTGCTTTGTCTCTCTTTTCTTTCCACTTTCCTACAGTGGTCAGTTGCAGCTCGAGACATCTCCAGAGCGTGAGGTAAGGACAGAGCTTGGTGTTGCCTTGGGGAAGGAAAGTAGCAGTATTTGTTCATGACAGAGTTTTTAACCTTTCCTGATTCTCTAAGTCTGTGAACTATTGTTTTCTACCTTCCCGCAAAGGTGAGAGTTGGCTTTTTTGGTTAGATTCTCTAAGTTTGTTTGCCAAAACAGACTGACTTTGTCAGGCAGCAGCCAGTGCAGTACATAGGAAACCAGTTCTAGCTCAGAAATGGAGAGAGGCCCATTTGATGTGAACATTCGAGTCGAGAAAGAAGTCTGGCTAAGTGAAGGACCTGAAGGACGCCCTCAAATGAATTGAGAATTTTTGGGAAGATTAAAAGAATATATAGGGAGTTGGGGAGATAGATGGCCATGCAAGCATAAAGACCGAGTTCAGATCCTCAGCATTGCAGCCTGTGCCTGTAATTTCATTGCTACATGGTGCATGCAGGAGTGTCTCTGTGGTTAACTGGTTGGCCAGCTTAGCCTAATGAAAAGCCCCAGCTACAACTAGAGATTCTGACTCAAAAAACAAAGAGGAGAACAATGGAGAAAGACTCCAGATGTTGACATCTGGCCTCCAAATAGGTGAATATTACACATAGGTCCATACAGAAACACAAAAGAATACTATAATGAGAAGCTGGTGGGAATATTTGGGGACAGGAGAAGGATAAGTTAGAGTTATATGTAATGAAATTTAGGTGGATGGCAGTAGAGAAAACATTCTTGACCTAAAACTGGGAATGATCTTAGAACAAGCTTATCCCAGTTGTGGAAGGATAAGTTTGGGGTAGTAGTTATGAATCACAGCCTGTTTTAGTTACTTTTCTATTGCTGTGACAAAATACCATGATCAGGGCGTATAAAATTGTTTAATTGGGGTCTCCAGAGCTTTAGAGTCTGTGACCATCGTGACAGGGTCCATGGCAACAGGCAGGCAGGCATGATTCTAGAGTAGTAGCTGAGAGCTCACATCTCAATCCACAGATGATACAGAAACACACACACACACGCACACACACACACACACACACACACACACGGCCAGGTGAATGCTAACTAGGATGATGTGGGCTTTTGAAACCTCTAAGCCTGCTTCCACTGACACGCCTCCTCCAACAAGACCATACCTCTTACTCCTGACCAAATAGTTCTACCACCTGGGGACCATGCATTTACATCTGTGAGCCTGTGACGGGTATTCTGATTCAAACCATTGGATTTTACTCATTGGACTCCCTAGGCTTATGGTCATATAATGTAAAATGTAGTCAATTCAAGTCTCCATAGTCTCAACAGTTTCAAAGTTTCTCCTGAGACTTGAGGCAGTCTCTTAATTGTAACCCCTTTAAAATAAAAAAGCAAATTACATAGTTTGAACATACAGTGGTACAGAATATATATTGCTATTCTGAAAGGGGAAAAATGGGGTTATTAGTGAAGAAAGTGGACCAAAGCAGGGACGACCAACACTCAGCAGGGCAAACTCCAAATCCTGTAATTTCTTGTCTGATACAATAGAACTTAGATGACTCTGTCCTTCCAACTCTATTGACTGTGACACACTTGCAGCTTGGGCTGGTTCCGTTTCTTGTATGATGCTTTCTCTGGCAGACATGCCATGGCTCTGTTAGCCTGTCCATTGTGCTGGGGTCTCCAACATGATCTAGGTATCACTTTCATGGCTTCAGACATACAGTGGCCCTTTAAGGCTTCTATGCAGGAGCTCCTCTCCCACATGCCTGACCTCAGTAGCTCTCCTTAACCATGGAGGAAGATTCCACACCCCCTTTATTCCTGTATCCTTCATCACTCTAAAGCCAGGCCACATGACTGATGCTCCCAAATCCAGCTGTCTCTTTAGATGGAGCCTGTCTCCCTCCTTGAATTAAATTTACATACACTTTGATTTCTTGCATTTTTAGGACCAGGAAGTCTCTGAGACATTTTCCAACCTTTGCAGATTACCTGGATAGGGTCTTGCAGCAAGTACACCACTCCCTTTCCTCCCTTTGGCGTTGGGCATCTTTTTATCTCTTTCAGCACAAGCCTGGGCTCCAGTATTAAATTTCCTGGCGCTCTTTCTCTTCTCAAACTGTTCATGTTGTATTTCTTTTTGTCCAGCTTGCTGCTTTTCACTGTAGAGGTTCATAAGAGTTATTGCTAATAACTACACAACAGAATAAATATGAAGCTATCTTCAGATATCCTTGGCCAGTGAAATTAGCCCTAAACTTTTCAGTTAGCATCAGGAAGATTCTTAGGACAAGGGCAAAATGCAGCCACATTCTTTGCCAAAATATCAAAAAATGGTCTATAGCCCAGTTGCTAATGCTGTTCTTCTCTGAAACCTCCTGTGCTTGGCCTCCATAGTCCCATTGCTGTCTGCATTACTGTCTTCCAAGTTCCCACTAGGATAACCCTGTTAACCCATGCTTACAGCATCCAACTGCTTCCCTAGTTCAAAGTCCCAGAGCCTTCCATGTTCCTTTGAGAGACAGCATGGTCTGGCTTGTCACAGCAGTAGCTCCCTACCTGGTACCAACTTCTGACTATTTTCCTATTGCTGTGAAAAAACACCATGACCAAGGCAACTTACAAAAGAAGATGTTTAATTTGCTGCTCATGGTTCCAGAAGGTTAGAGTTCATGGCTATCATGGTGGGGAACATGGCAGCAGACAGGCAGCTGTGGTGCTGGAGCAGTAGCTGAGAACTTACAGCTCATTTCACAAGTAGGAGACAGAGAGGCTAACTAGTGGGAATGGAGTTGACTTTTGAAACCACAAAGCCTGCTTCCAGAGACACACCTTGTCCAATGAGGCCAAACATCCAAATCCAAATCCTTCCCAAACAGTTCCACTAAGTTGGAATAAAGCATTTGAGTTTTTGAGCCTATGGGGGACATTCTACTCAAACCACCACACAGCTGGTTAAAGTCTAATCCATTCCTCCTAGTGAGTGAGCTTAAAATGGCCTATTGAAGTACTGAAATTCCCTACAAACCAGCATATATACGGGATCTGACTGCACATGTACTATGAAGTAATAAAGCAGTTTTACACTCAACATGTCTGTGTAAAAGAAATGAGGAAAATAAGAAACGTAAAGGGGAAAGCCAGGTTTTCAGAGACTGTGAATGCATTGTTACAGGCAGGGACTAGTAATTATGTTCCATGGCTGCCCTGACTGAATTGCTAACTCTGTCCAACTTAATTAACCTCTTTAAACTTTATTTTTATTTTTGGTAAATTTCAGTCTAATAATAGCTATTGTACAGCTCAAATGAGATGATTCAGGAGAAACCTCACAGCCTTAGACATGTAAATGCTAGCTGTTATTTTTCTACAAACTTACTGTGTGATCTTCAGACAGAATCCCAGTGTCACCTCTGCCCTGGGTGGACAGTCAGCAAACAAACCAGGGTTGAACATCAGGAGACTTTTATTTACAGGAGGCTGCCCTATAATGGTTTTCTTTTGCTTTCTGTTTGAGAATATTTGTTTCTTTGTAGACTAGCTTTTTTTTTTCCATTTTTTTAGCACATATGAGTGTTTTCCTCATATGTGTGCTCCTCATACATGCATACACATGTATGATGTCAGAAGAGGGTGTTGCACCCCCTGGAGTTATACTTGAGTTATAGATAGCTGTTGCCATGTGGGTACTGGGAGCTGAACCCAGTTCCCATAAAAGAACAAGTGCTCTTCACCACTCCAGCCTCTCCCTGTAGACTCATTGTTTTAAAAAGTTGCATATTTAGAAATATTTGGGGCTGGAGAGATGGCTCAGTGGTTAAGAGCGTCGACTGCTCTTCCAAAGGTCCTGAGTTCAATTCCTAGCAACCACATGGTGGCTCACAACCATCTGTAAGAGGATCTGATGCCCTCTTCTGGTGTGTCTGAAGACAGGAACAATGTACTCACATAAAATAAATAAATGGATCTTTAGAAAAAAAGAAACCTTTTTACCTTTGAAAGAATATGAAAATAAATTACAGGGTCCTATAAAAGTTATAAAAATATTATAATCTTCCATTTTTTCAGTTATGGGCTAACTATCCTTAGTATGTAAATACTAGATGTTCCATAACTTGGAAGTGTTTTTAGCACTAATAGAACACCACAAATATAAACTTTTGCATTTGATCTCATGAGACAGGTCACAGTTAAAACACAGGTGGGCCTGAAAACAGAAAATTAATTCCCCTCAGACTGTGTGTATAAGGCATATATGAAATGAAAACCAACTGTTTCTATTAAGGTCCTGTTTCTCAGCCCCTATTACGCATTTGCAGATAATTCGATCCCATGTCTTAATCCTTCCAGTCCCTTGCCTTTTGGACTGGGATATTCAACCTGTATGGATGTTTTCCTGTGCCAGCTGCGTTATTTGGTCTCTCCGTTTTCCTCCACATCCACCATTCTTTGACATAGCTGACAATGCAGACATCACTTCCCTGGTGGCTCTGTATTTCGGTGTTACACTGTGTACAAATAGGGATCCACTTTCTGTAGATATATTCCAGGATTCCATGCCATTAGTGTCTGCTGTTAAGCTCAGTGAGGAGGGTACAAGATTTCCAGACAAAAATTAGCTCCACTGCGTCTCCAGGACACAGTTCAAACATTGTGTTTCTGTTCAAAAGCACTTATTCCTAATGGGGCAGAGGCAGGAGCGGGGGAGGATGCCTTGCTGGGTGCCTGGTTTTGTGCTTCATAGGTTTATAGGCTTTGTCAACACATGTGCTTCTTGATTTATAATGGGTTTCTGTCCCCAATAATCTATTACTGTTAAAAACATTAATGTGAAAATGCATTTAATCTATGTACTGTAGTGAGCACTGTTGCTTTGCCTAGCCTACCACTAATGGGTCCACAGCATTTACAATAGCTTGCAGTGAGACAAAATCATTTAAAATTATGCCTGCTTTAGAGTAGTGATCCAAAGTAATTTATTGCGTGTTTTACTGAAAGCATTCAATAAATGGCATGGCAGCATACACCTGGAAGAGCCAGAGGCAGAGTTAGGAGGATCAGGAGTGCAGTGGTAGCTTTGGTTCCAAGACAAGTTTGAGGTAGGCCAGGGCTGTGTGAGACCCTTTTTACACCAGAGTAAAGGAGAACTTTTCCAAGTCAAACCTTCATGAAGTCAGGACTGTTTGTTTCCATCTCCTCCATAAGCATGCCCTGGGTGTTGCTGTGAGTCACTGTGGAAGCCTGGAGGACCACAGAGGTTGTTCTCTAAGCAGAGTATATTCCAGATGACTGTTAGGAAATGTAGGAGTTAACATGACCGGTTCATGGATGCAGAAATGATGCTCACGGTTGAGACTGGCTGACTCGTTACCATGGTAACAGATAGGCCGGCTATTTCATCACACTATATTGCATCTTTGTATTCAGTTTGTCACACTCCAAACCTTAGTGAGAGCTGATGGCTTGGAACCTTTCCTTAAAAGCTTGTCTTGGGAGAAGGCGAGAAGCCAACATACTTATGAGTTCATGAGCAATACTTCCAGGAATGTGGAAGGATTTGGAAAGGCTTGAAGAGGATGGGTATGTACTAAATATAGACTGAGCCTAGTTCACATTCAGTCTGCATCTGAATTTCATTTGGCATCCCCACACAAGCCAGATGCCGGAGCCTGTCAACCTGTAAGCGGTAGCTGCACACACTTTCTGTTCTAGCCAGGCTGAGGCAGGGGCAGCTTGTCTGGCTGGGGATGGTGGTGCATACCTATAATTCTGCCATTGAGGCAGGAGGATTCCAGTTTCAAGGTCTTAATCCTGGACTTCATAGTGAGACCCTGTCCAAAAACAAAACTTACTTGTTTCCAAGATTGCTAGAGCACAAGGAGGGAAACAAAGCTTCTAGGGGTCAGGGGGTCCTGACCTCATCTCCGATCGGCTTCCAGTGCTCTCTGTTAGGTTAGACTGCTGTAAGCTCATCTTTGCTTTGGTGAGTGATCGTGCTTGCATAAGGTGTTCTTGTCTTCCCTCCCAAGGCAGCTTTGGGCCCATGATAGGATTTCAAAAGGAAGGGTCGGACAGCTTACCTGATGCAAAAAGGAATTCATAAGATGAAGGAAAAGGAAATAAGTTGTGGTTTCTCTAGTCCACTGGTCCTGCACCTGTGGTCTGGTTACACGTCTACACACCCTTTGCCAGCATTTGTTGCCTACTTGTGCAGGGCGTGGCTTTTTTGTTATGGAGGATGGAATGTGCGACCTATGAAGTAGCAAAATTGTTGAGTGAATAAAAGATGTCAGTACTGAAAACATTTCAAGAAGACTGGGCTGTGGTTTACCATCCTGAGTCTGTTTGTTTCCAGAAAGGATAGAGTGTATTACAAGATGTGAGGATAACTTAGTTTGTGGCCACGTTGGATATAGACCTGTAAGGGAGCAAGGGTCTCCCTGGAGGATTGAGTCCAGTGCGTTACCATAACTGAGAGGTGAAGCAAGGGTCGTAGAGGGGTCTGCCTCCATGTCATGTGACCTGCCTTAAGCATACTTTAGAAGACCGGCCACATGAAAGTCTGTACCATGGGTATCCACACAGTAAGGATGCTCCTCTCCTGCTTGTACATAAGTGGTGCTGAGGAGAGGTGCTTGACAGAACAATGAGGAAAATTGGTAGAAGTCCTTAGAGAGTAAGTCCAGTGCCACCTGTTGGCAGTTCTAATGAGGCCCTTTTATTGTGTAGGGACAAGAATGACATTTTATTTTAAATGTATTTTCCCTTGGGTTCATGAAAACTAGGGGTATTTTTAAATAGCACTCCTCCACACAGTGGGCATCTTAGATTTACACTTTTATGGTGACATGTATGAAGGTGTTTATTACCTATTTTCAAACTACTAGAGTGCATATGTAAGTCATGCTTGCTTTCTTAGCATCTCTCTTAACCGGTGACTGCCAAAGCAAACTGATAATAAACTGATCACGTGAATGAGGTTTTTCACGTTTGCTTGGGGTCCAGGCATATGTACTTACTGAAAGCTTCTGTATATTTTGGAACTACTAGTTTGGGCCATTTCTAAAGACCCATAATTAAAATAGAGAAGGGAGTCAGCAGACAGTTTGGTAAACTGGCCAGATAAGACGCATTCATAGGTACTAGGGAAATATCCCTGTCTTAGGGATCTTGTGTTCATCTGTGCCATTCTTTAGATATTTTTCAATGAATACAGCTGTGTAGTTTTATAAAATAGAAGTATGACCCTCTTAGCTACTTAACACATGAATTAATTCAACATTTGCTAGTGTGTGCTTCTGGGCCAGGGCTATGGCGGCAATAAAAAATATGTAGCCTTTGTCTCCTCTTTCTCATAATCTAATGGAACGTACACATTTGTCTCTCCCACAAGGTGCAGAATGATCTAACGTTACAAAGCAATGGAAGCCAGTATTCTCCAACTGAGGTAAGATTCCTGAAGATTAATGGCTGCTAATCCATTCCATGAAGACCGAACTGAAGCATCTTTCCCAGAATTGGATAGTCTTACTCTGGGATTAAAGAGTTAACGGAAGAGTCTCTGGGGTCTCTCGTTAGTTGTCACTCACTGTCACAAAATCATTTGGCTCTATACATCATTAAAGCTTAATTTTGTGAAAAATGGCTTTTGAGATCTAGGTGTGGGATATCTTTACAGAGAACGGCAGCCAATCATTCAGATGACATTTCCTCAGCTGCTACCCGAGATGGTTCTGCATGCAGTTTCTGAGTTGCATGCTTAGCGTTAGCTGTGCGTCTCCATGTTAGAGAGGCTCTGTTAAATCTGTTCTTTGGCATGCCTGTGCATATGCGGTCAGCTGTGTTGAATGAGAAGCAGATCACCCACTTTGTGTCACTGCAAAATAATTTTGTAGTGAGCACATAAAGATTTCAGTGAAACAACAAAAAAAGAATAACAGTAACACAGTTTACTAGGGTGCCGGAAAACATTTTATTGACTGCTTCTAGAGTATTTACAAAATATATTTTTAAAAAGCCAAGCTATCATCACAATGCAGCCATAGCAAATACAACGTAGTTTTATAATAATTGCTGACCATTTAAGTATGTCTGGTTCTTCATTTCCCAATTGTTTTCTCTTCTCACCCCACAGATAAGAGAGAACACCCCTTCAGTGTCTCCTAAGGCAAACATCACAGCTCCATTTGGCCTGAAGCCTCGTTCAGGTAGCTAACCTCAGCTCATTCTTATACTAAGTAACTAAAATGGTTTCTCTTTGGCCTTTCAAACTTATTCCTGAGTGATATGAGCTTTGCCAGTTCTAGTCAGCTGGGGTCCTGGCATCAGAGTAGCTGCGGCTTGGTGAGGTCGTGTGATTACATTAAGCTGTTTGATCTATGCTTCCAGGAATGGGCAGCTTGCCTTCTTTTGAATCACAGCAAAGAAAAGTGGCAAAGGGAACATGTAAGTAGGGAAGGAGTACTCCCTTTGAACTTTTTACATGTGGAAAATAAAACAGCTCCCCTTTACCCCAAAGGTTCCCAGTGCCCTGATGAAGTAAAGGGCACCCTGAAGGCAGAGTTCTCCCCAAGACGACCCCAGTTGCTTTCCAGGCATGGTAAGGTCTCTGCATTTACTCACACAAGAGGGTGAGCATTTGAAGGCTTGTATGAGTGGTTAGGAGTTGGGAAAAATTCTTAGAGGAAAGCACCTTACCTTTTTGACCTACTTGGCTGTAATTTGTGTTACTATATTGACAAAGTTAATAGCATTGTGCAAACTTACTTTCAATTTTTTTTTAAAAGGGCCCTAGATAGAAAAATATATTTCTTCTAATTTCTTCCCACATTTCCAGTTTTGGTGCTATCTGCCTTCTGTTAGGACCTTGTTTGTTTTGCTTTTTTGTTCCTCTTGGACTTAACTATATTTACCACTAATGCTTTTAAGTAGGTTCTTATAAGGGACCAGGATACATACAAGCACAGCTGGTAGAGAACACACGTGATCTTGGGTTTGGGGCAAAGCATTTTGACAACCGTATGAGCGTTATACATTTCTGGCTTGAAATAAACGTCGCAACGGGAAAAGCAAAGGTTTTTTATAGAGGAGATTTATAGAGGAGATGGTTTGTTCTTGGAAGACATTGATTGATGGGCGGCATGTGGCCAAGTGTGGAGGTTTCCTAGCCATTAGAATAGCATAAGAAAAAATAAGCAGTTGGAAAATGACTCTAGTATGATCAGAGTTTCTAGACTTTTTTCTTTTTTTTTTTTTTCAGTCCTAGAAATTAAGCCCAGGCCCTTGGCACATGCCAGGGACGTGCACTACCACTGAGCTGTATCTCCAACCCTAGAGAATATGTTACAGAAAGTAAAGGTGTGGATGAAATCATAGAAAACTCAAATGACTAGCCCCCTAATGTAAGAAAGTAGGTGTATAGAGCCAAATCTGGGCTGCCCCTCAATACCCATAATCCCAAGCTCTGTTCTGAGAGAAATGGAGGTTACTGTTATTGTACCTCCCCTGTCTCATGGCTGGCTACAGGCTCTCTCAAGCCTTCTGAACAGTTCTGCAATATTTAAAAAATATTTCATAACTGAAATCAAAATGTGAATGAGTCTCCAAAGATTAATAGCCCTTTGAGTGTTGGACCTCTGTAATTTAGTTATGATTTACTGACTTTTAATGCATTTATAGAGCCCAGCCTAAGCTCACCGTGTCAGAGATGCCTTGAACCTGTAGTGTACACCATTCAGGTTCTGTGAAGAGATGAAAAAGAGAGTATTTGTTATTGTCTCCGTTCTTAAAAAGCATTAAAGTACACAATTCTTCTGTAGTTAATTTGTTTCTAAATAACAGATGCATGTATACATGTTGACCTTTGTCTAATGTGACCAGGAGTTCTGGGTGAATTGTGCAATTGTATCAGCTGATTAGTTGTTTAGAAGGGGTTGGCAGAGGGTATTAGGTGGGCCTTTCTGCTTTGAGCTGCTAAATGATGGTGTTCTTTCCTTCTGCTGCCATGACCCGTTAGCACTCTAGGCTGCAGGCTCGCAGAACTGTTAAGATTAAGGGTATTAACTGCATGCAGCGTGTGAGCGACAAGTACTAACACTGAGTTTTTATCATTCTTTTCCTTTCATGCGCCATCTCTCATTCCCCTCCCGATACTGTACATTTGAATTTAAACCCCATGTAATGAAATCCACTTCATTTCCATACGAACCTCACGCCACGTGTGAAATGCTGCGGCCCCTGGGTTTCCCCTGGTCCCTGTGCAACTGTCCGCCTGGCTGTCTCGCTCTCCTGCAGACCCAGCCCTCATTCTCCCTCCTATCTCCTTCAACAAACTTACACAGGCACAAACATGGGACAGCTCTAGCTACCGTGTTCCATCTGAAGGAGACAGTGACAATGGTAGGTGCTTTGTTGTCTCTTCTTCGATGTTCGTGTGATAAGCCTGTGACTGTACTCCATAGGCCTCTGTATGTACCTGGAGACAGGATACATTGACCTGCATGCGCCATACTCAGGAAGCCTCTGAGGCAACGTCTAGACAAGTGCTTGTGACCTGTTGCCTAACAGCTAATGATGGGACAGTTGATTTGCCCTGAGGACGCTGGCTCTGGGGAGGATTTTTTTCAGTACTCTCTTGTCTACCTGTTATACTTGGGGTTTGGTTCGTTTGTCTGCTCGTCTACAAAGACTGAAACTCATGCATTTAGGTTATTCCGGCTTGTTTCTAGCCCCATAGTAAATGCTCTCAGAGTTTGATTTTTAGAATGTGTGTGTGGTGGTACACTCCTATAATTTCAGTGTAACGGAGTCTGAGACAGGAGGATAGTGAGTTTGAGGCCACCCAAGGCTATATTTTGGAGTGTTGCCTCAAAAAATAAGGTTGATCTTTTATTATATATGTTTACCAGATGGGACTTTTAAGGCAATTTAAAGGTACTATGGTTGACTCTAGAGTTTTGCACTGAAAATAATGTTAACATTATGAAGTTTCTAAAAATAAAGAAAAATTACTTTTCCTTTTTTTCAAAGTTTTTATACATTTTTGACTTACACTTTTTTATGTGAATTTACTTACATTAAAGGATACTGAGTTAGTCTGAAAATAATGTATATAAATATTTAATAATTGAGAACACTCGGTGAGTCTTCATAAGGATATTTTAATTTTGTATCATTCAATATCTCAAGTAGTCCAAGATAAAAATAAAATCATTTAGATCATATATACCATATATATCCAAAAATCTCTGTTCTGGTTTAATGCTGGTTCAGATTGTAAAGATTTTTGTAAACCTCAAAATACAAAGTGATAGAAGAAATACTAAATGAAACTGAGAAATAAGGTGTGAGGCACAGCCACCATGCACACGTAAGCTGTTAATGTAAGTTGTAACATGTTTGTTAGCTAAGTATGCTATCTATGATGCTTGGAGAATGTAGACTTAGAATACTTGCTGTGATCTCTGGTTAAGATTGAGCTAAAATTTCCATTTATTAAAGAATAATACATATTCTGGTGGGCTGAATCTGGTGAACAAGAAATTTTAGCATTTTATAGTTGTGTAAAACAGTGGTTCTCATCCATCCTAATGTGGTGACCCTTTAATACAGTTCATCATATTTTGATGACCCCCCCATCATTAAATTATTTTCATTGCTACTTCGTTACTGTAGTCTTGTTTCTATTATGAGTCATAATGTAAATATCTGTGTATTTTTGCCAGTAAGGGACTCGTGTGAAAGGGATGATCAGCCCTCAAAAAGATCACAGCCATAGGTTGAGCACTGCAGGGCTAAAATTTTTTCACTGAAAATAGACATGATTTTTTTAAAAAGCAATCATGACATAGAAATCTCCTCCTTATGTCATCCTGCTTTAAATTCTGGGTGCCAATGGAGGAGAAGTGTTAGAGGAAAACTTTCTTGCTAAGCTGTTCTTTGATTTAAAACCAGAAGACCAAGCTATGAAGAAGTATTTCTGTTTTCTGAAATCCTGGCTACTATGGGTTTTAATGTTCTTTACTGGAAATAAGGCTAGTATGAAAGATTCATGTGTGAGTTATTTCCTTAGGAGTAATATCTGATCTGGGCAAGGTCTAAAGATTTTAAACAGCAGAATTTCTCTGCTGGTATGTACCCATAAGACAGAAATCAGGTAGGAGGTCTGCATCCCAGGTCTTGACTGTCTCCTGTCAGACAAATCTTCATTCATTGCACAGGTGAGGAGCTGCTGTGTGAGGGGCCGGGCCAGGTCTTCTTTTTATTTAAAATTCTGAGATGTCTGCAGCCAATAATGACTATGAACATTTAAAAGCAAAATAACCTTGCATTTATTACATGGCCTTTAAATAACAAATGGGGGCTTTAGCACACAGTACCACAGCAGTAATGAAAGGATTATTTTCAGTATTCCTCTGGATTGGGCAACCATGTCAGATATTTTTGATGGTTTTCATTCTTTTCTTTATTTGTAACTTGTCCAAAGTGTCACAAACCTTTTTAGTCCTGTGCATGAGACTTCACCTTGTGACTGCAGTGTTTTCTAACTCAGTGGAAGAAGCTGTGGCATAAATCCTCAAGTAGGAAATCTGAGGAACCAGCCCACTCCCTGTGTTGTCCTTAAGGCTTCCATAGAGACAGACAGTTCTACTTTGTAGGCCTCTTGGCGTGTCCAGAAATGCTTATCTCCACAATTGTATTGTTTCTTCATTATCTGATGCCCGTAGCTGTCCAGCCTTGCAAATGAGATAGTTTAGACAACCATAATGTTTAATTATTAACTGCGTCAAACTTTGAGTATTCATCCCATTGCCCATTGCCTCGCTTTGTACACAAAAGCTTCTCTTTTCATTTAAATCCCTTCCAGTGTTTTGTTCCAGATTGAGCTCGTTTTAAATTCACCATTGTCTTTGTAACATGGTCTTCAAAGAGATTTTATTTAAACTTGGCCAGCAGGCTGGAAGGACCTTGAACATTTGGAGACCCATAGTTTCTGAAATTAGTCTTCTGAGAAGGAGAGCATGGCATGCAAGTCCATCTGTGACACTGCCTGCCCCACCACAGCCTGGGGTACCTTCACTTCCTGAGAACCCGTCCTCTTCTCCTGCCCTCACTCTTGTCCCTTCGTTTGGGGCTTCGTCTTCCCCTTTCCCATTTACTTGGAAGTAAAAAACCTGTCCTGGTCTCTTTTGAGGTGTTTCCATCTATTCATTCATGGTGAATTGGTGCGTACCACTCTAGACTTACTTAAAATTGATCTTTATATAAGAGTGAGTGAGTGAGTGAGTGAATATCTATCTCTGGCCAGTTTACAAACATCTTTGTTTCCTTGGTAATAACAGTGCGGCACTGGGGTCTTATTCACCCCAGTACAAAAAGAAGGCCACTGAGGGTGCGGGAGGCTCCTCAGGAACTCTCAACTCTGGCTTCATATTAGAATGTCTGGTTCTGTGTTCAGAGATGGTAAGTGAACACCGACATAGAGCCCCAGCATTTATCTTTGTTTATGTGTACGTCATGGACAGAGATGCATTGTTTATGTGCACATGTGAGTTTCGTAAACTGCTCAAGATGGTAGAGAGGAAATTTCAGCATTTGAAGGGAAGTAAATGTACCTGATTTACTTGGAGCTCCAGAAGGAAGTGGATAAATTCATTTGCCTGATTTCTAACTCCTAAGAGCTGAAATCTAAAGCTTGTATTTGTCACTATATCCCTGCCTGCCCTTGCATTTGAATATATTAAAAGGCACTCTAGTCGACTTTCATAACTTCCAAGGAAGAGGAAGCTAAGTTTCAAAACCCTGTGTTTCCACCAAGAAGCTATTTCCTTTCATTTCATGCCAAGTACAGTGTTTTTGTTTGTTTCTTGTATTAGTGAAATGGTAAAGTTCACTTAGTTTGCTTTAGAGCTGTGAGCTCTCTTTGCTTAGCTGAAAGGTAACGCTTGGAAAGAGGATTGTGTGTGTGTGTGTGTGTGTGTGTGTGTGTGTGTGTGTTGTACCCCTGGTAAGGGCCTCCCTGTGCTAAGCATGCCTCTAACGTACAATCAAACAGTCGCTGCCGTTGTGGAACCTAAATTTGGAAGTTAATGTAGTCAGACTTGGGATTTTTTTTTTCTGTGAGAAGAGAAATTAAGAAACTAATCACCATGAGAAGGTCATTTCTGTAAAGATGATCTTCAGATACTTACTCGTGTCTTTCCCGGGAGGTTTTAAAATGCCTGTTTCATTTACTCATCAACAAACGTGTGTCTCAGCCCACGGCTCTATGGGATGTAGTAGCGCATGCAGCTGGGCTCTTGCAGAGTCATGCGTATTATGACATGGTAATACAGAGTGATGAGTACCAAGAAGTGCACAGATAATTCTCTTTGGGCATTCACAGGAAGTAGAGATTATGCCAGCTCAGAGATGTGGTGAAGAGACTTTCAAGGATGAAAAGATCAGTGGAGTCCTCTATCCACGTGTAGCCTCCTCCTCCACAGACCATGTTTAGACATTTGTTTCCTGCTAAGTGAACTACAGCCAGCAGGTCTTATGTTCTGTTGTAACTGTTAGTGACTTACCCCCGATCATTAAACGACAAGGGGCTCATTTTTCCTGTTTCTCAGTCATATGCTCCACTTTACCTGTGCACAGCTGTGTCCATGTGTGGATGCTTGCCCACTCAGACAGAGCTTGCTTTCCCTGCCTTTTAATTTATCTTTAAATGAGATGGCATTGAAAAGCGCATGCTAACAGTTTTTCAACCTTGTTAAATAGCCTCAAGTTAAACCTTTAGTCCCCTGAATTGAGCTCGTGAAATGCAACAGTAAGGATTTAACGTTCTCTCTGGCGTCAGTTTCCTGAAGACTTGATCCAGAAAGAAGTAAGCTGGCTGGCTTATTAGCTGAAAGAGTTTCTTTAAAAAATTTCAAACAGTCCACAGTAGTTATAATTAAGTATATAAATCCTAATGTGTATGTACATATATTCCTCATTTCTAATCATTGCATGCACATTTGAAATATTTGTTTTAAAAATAGAAACTACAGCTGAGAAACCTTCAACATTTGTTGATTGCTTGCTAGACACAGAAATATACCCCAGTGGGCAGTTCTGCTTTTTTAATTTGCACAGGACTTTAAAATAAACAGGCATGCCAGGAAATTAAGAGCCAGACCTGATGGTATCATCCTGATATCCCTCGTGGGGCTCTGCTAGCATACATGCTCCAGTGTGTGCAGTTAAACCAGAGATTGCCGGTCATTTAACTTCCTCATATTTTCATATTTGGAATGGAATCATCCAATAAAAACATATTGAAAGTATTAAGCATGCCGTATTAGATAAGATTTCCCCAGAATAAAGGCAAAAGGGAAGTGGCCTCCAAAGCAAACAGCAGGTCTTTCCGAGTAGGGTCATGGCGCCCCTTGGTGACATGTGTGTGCACTGCCGAGCTCCGTCGACATTCCTTGACTTTTTTGGTAAATTCAGTTAACATCTTTGGGAGATGAGATTGCTTTTAGGTTTTACATTGCGTTTTTCTTGTATTTGCTGGGCTTCCATTGGCAGATGTTTGTGTGCTCTCCCAGGCTTCTAGTTGTCCAGCCTCCCTCACGTTCCTCTCGGAGCCTGGCTGCCCCATCACCTCACCCTTCTTTTGCCAGCTTTGCCTCTTTCCTTTCTTGCTCTGATTTGGTCTGACTTCCTTGAGGCCTTGGCTCCTGTGGGGCCTCGGTGAGAGGCTCCTGTGACAAGCCTTTGGCTTTTGTACCAGTGACCTCTTGGTTCGCTTCCATCCTAAGACCAGGGCACAGATTTTTTTCTGTGGCTCTAGAAAGCCTTGTGCTCACACGGTCAGCCTCATTCTCCATGAACTATGTCAGTCAACGATGGTGTCAGCCTCATCTTCCCAAGTATCTTCTTGGTTCCTGCATCTTTGAACCCATGTAGAAAGATTCACCAAGGTGGTCATTAGCTCAGAGTTCCATCTGCCTCTGCCTTCCAAGTGCTGGGATAAAAGGCATGTGCATCCATGCCCAGCTACTAAAATCATTCTTTACTTGTAGAATATCTTTATTCGACTGTACCACTTTTATTTATGTAATTTTCATTAGCTTACATCTATGAGGGTTACAGCATCACACAGATTCGTATCCACTGGCCTTTGCAAATAGATTGCTTTCGAATTTGGCACAAACTACACCACTGTTTCCTTGGGCCAGAGTTATCTTTCCACAGATAATTCTGGTCTTGTTTAGTTTGCCTCTGGGGTCCCTTGGATTGTGTTTTTCTCTATATACCTAAGTATATCTTTTATCTAAGGAGACTTCAGTTTCATCTCCGCACACACACCTTCAACTTTAAGAAGAGCTATGCTCTCAGTAGTTACTGAGACCCCCACCCCTTATAACCAGCAAAAATGTCTGTGCAAACACAGCCTTCCTAATATATTGGTTTTTAGACATCCTGTCCCTGGCGTGCCTCCACAGGTGCAAATACGGTACAAAGCCTCATGTAGAATATATTTTAATCATCCTAATTGATGTTACCACCTAGAAGTTTAGAACATATGATTCTTGTGAGTTTTTTTTTTCATTTTTCATTTGTTCTGTCCTGTTCTGTACAGTGCTGGGTTTAACATAAAAAGAGATTTATTTATTTTATGCATATTGATGTTTTGTCTACATGTATGTCTGTTTACCATGTGTATCCCTGGTACCCCCAGAAGCTAAAAGAGAGTGTCAGATTCTCTTAACTCTATTAAAGATCTTTGTGAGCCACCTTGTAGGTGCTGGGAATTGAACCTGGGTCCTCTGGAAGAGCAGACATTGTTTTTAACTGCTGAACTGTCTTTCAAGCCTTGAGAGTGTTTTCTTAATTCTTTCAAACGAAGCAGTGTTTTCAGTCACTGTTCTGTAAGAAGTCTAAGGTCCTCAAGCCAGCGGTGATGAAGTCACCTCTAGTCCGGCCAGCCTTCTAGATGGTCACCTGTGCTCATCTGTAAAGAGCTGACTCTTTGAACACCTGGCCAGTGATTGGACAGAAGACAGAATATGTGGTTCCACATGGCACCAATTCTAATATCTCCCTATTTGATCAAAATTACTTATATTTAATGAAAGATAGAGCATATGATTAGAATATCGATTATAACAGAAGGTTATACTGAACCTGAGAGAGGTGGTGCTTTAGTCTGAGTGACAGCACGGTCTCATCTCCATCCCGATGAGGTCCATCTCTCAGTTCAGTTTATTGTCAGCTCAAACCCAGCTCTTCAGTGCACACAACCCAGAATACCTCAGGAGATTCTTTCCCTTAGAGCATACACAGCTAGCTCCTGCTGTGAATCTGGAATTTCCCTGTGTCAGTGAATGATATATAATCTGGGATAAGTAAATAATTTGTTTAACTGCAATAGGAATAGCCCTGTGTAGTAATTCAGATTGATTTCCTTTTCTGTGTCTCTTGCAGTATTTCTAAGACCTCAGAGAAACTTGGAATCTATAGACCCACAGTTTACAATTCGGAGGAAGATGGAGCAGATGAGAGAAGAGAAGGAGCTGGTGGAGCAGCTCCGTGAGGTACTGGGATCGACATGTGTCTAAGCGAGATGCTCAGAATCCAAGCAGCGCTCTGTGTGTGGGAAAAGCTGGCCTGGAAGCCTTGCACACAATCCCAGTTTTCGTCTTGCAGTTTTTAATTCAAACATTTCAACACAAACGAATCTCTCTTTATACAGAGGGTTTTTTTTTTTAAATACTTGAAAATATTTAATTAACATGAGTATTTTCCAGACATCCTTTCTATGTCTGGGGTGTGCATATATGTGTGTGAGAGTGAGCATGTATGTTTGTGTACATATGTGTGGAGGCAAAGAGATGACCTGAGGCACTCCTCAGGTGCCATGTACATTTTTTGTTTTGATTCAGGGTTGCTCACTGGCCTGGACCTTGCTGACTAGACTCATCTGGCTGACTAGCAAGTCTCAGGATCCTCTAGAATTCACTTGCCCAGTGGCTGGAATTACAGGCATACACTGCCGTGCTAGACTCTTTGGGTTCCCATGTCAAACTCTCATCCTTGCAAATACTTTCTTTACAGAACCATTTCCCCACCTCCAGACATTCTTACACTTGTCCCGTCACTGAGAATAGGTTCATGCATACTTGCAGCTGTGCTTAACACTTAACTTGTTTCGGTGCCCATAGCAACTGGCTCTTTCTGCTTCCCACCCCCAGAGCATTGAGATGAGGCTGAAGGTGACCCTACATGAAGACTTGGGGGAGGCACTCATGGATGGTGTCGTGCTCTGCCACCTGGCCAACCATGTCCGTCCGAGATCTGTCGCCAGCATCCACGTCCCCTCACCAGCCGTTGTAAGTACAGATAGAGGAAAACAGGCATAAAATGGGATTTGTTTGTATAGAGTTGTTGGTTAAAGATGCCAGTGGAGTCTCCAGGAGCCTGACTGCCTGGACAGTTTCCATTAGACCCCACATAACTAGAAGAACAGAGTAATGCACGGAGTCTGAGGAAGCAGCATTTTCACCAAAGGGAGACTATTTTCAAACAAGTATGAGAAAGACAGAAAAGTAACTATCTCAGGTGTGGAGTTTAAAGAAGTTTCTGATTGATGTGCTGGGTTAAAGGCCATAGAACACAGAGATTCGGCCCTCACAAAGGGGTATTTAAACAATTAGGTCTCTTGAGAAGGCTGTCTGGTTGAGGGCTATTTCAGGTGGACTCTTTCATGCTTTTCTTCTCAGGAGGGTCTCACTCTATATCCACAAGAGCTGCCACTGCGCTTACAATCCTTCTGCCTCAGCTTCCCTGTTGCTGGTTGGGGTCTCTTCTCTTTCTTGTTTATTGGGGATTTTACAGTAGCTTATGAAGATAGACAAATGTATAAAGTATCCTTAATAACCTACCAATTAAGGCATCATTCATATGGTTCTCCTTCCTCCCCACCCTCTTTCCTCTCATCCTCTCCTAGGGATCAAACCCAGGGCATTTGCTTTCCCACTGAGCTATATCTTAGCCCTGACCCTTGTCCTAGATACCACAGAGCCTGCGACAGGTAAAAGAATGCCACGGAGGCAGTTTGTGATCCTGTGTGCATGCTGGAGGAATCAGAGATAGTCTTGTCTTTGAAGCCCATAGGGTTACATAAACAAGAGCAGAAAGAGTTTATGTAACAGATTTTGTGCATTAGGGAGAGCTGAATTGCTTAGGGCATACGGTTGGGTTCAGGCTCCAGATCTGTGTCTCAGAGCTGTGGGCAAGTTGCATCCTGTCTTTAGCTTGATAAGCCCTTCTCTTGAAATAGACCTGCTCTTGAAAAGACGAGATGAGGTATTGGAGACAGGACACATAAATGTGGGCCACTGCTACTGTCGGTGTTTATACATAGCAGAGCTACTAATCGCAAGGTACCGTTTAGACCGTGTAATCAGTGTTCGGTGAGCACGTGTGAAGTCCCTGCCCTCCCCCCTCGGGGAGCTCCGACGAGGGCATGTTTCTATCCTGCTTTGTCTTCTCCTGACAGCAGAAGAGTTAGCTAGTGGTCTCAGTTTCTTTTCTATAATATTAACACTGATTTTTTTTTTCTTTTAAAAGTTTGACCACATTTTTTTTCTCAGAAATATGATGCTGAGCAATGTGGTTTCTCTTTGAAATGTTTCTCTGGCAACTTCAACGTAGGACAGTGAATTCTATCATTCAACACAGTGTAGTGGCCTAAAGACTTACTTACTTACTTACTTACTTACTTACTTTATTTATTTATTTATTTATTTATTTATTTATTTATTTATTTATTTTCTTATTCATTTATTTCCTTCATCCCTCCCTCCCTCCCTCCTTTCCCTCTCTCCTTCCTTTCTTTCCACAAGGTTTCTCTTTGTAGTCTTGGCTGTCTTAGAACTTGCTTTGTAGACCAGACTGACCTTGAACTCAGAGAGATCTGTCTGCCTCTCTGCCTCCAGAGTGCTGGGATTAAGAGTGTGCACACCCGCTGTCTGGATAGATTTGTATGTATTTTTTAATTCTGTTTTGAGTGTGTGCACATAAGCACAGGTGCATGAGGAGGCAGAAGAGGGAATTGTGTCCCCTAGAGTGGACTTGTGGTCTTAAGTGCTAGGAACTGAACTTGTGTCCTCTCATAGTCACCAAGTCTGTGTGAGCTGTACATCAAACTGTCAATTCTTTTGCCCAGTTTAAATGAGAGGTACTGGATTCCCTGGCATCCAAATGGAATGCGCACTGTCACCTTGTAAAGTGTAAGGAGACGGTAAGAATCACACTTACGGTTTTATTTATGTCCCAGGGAAACACAATTCTTTAAAAAAGATCTTCATTTTAATATTTTTATTTAATTGGAAAAATACAGGACACAGTGCTTGGCCAGATAAAATAGCAGAAAACAGGAAAATAGAGATGATTCCTTTCTTGCCATCCACAGACAGCATCCTTCTGCTATTACCACTAATGTGTTCCATACATTTGTGCTTTTAATTGTGTTCTCCTGTACACTATGTAGTAATGTTTAAAATCTGTGAGAGACTAAATTGTCTGTCATCAGATCCTTCCTGAACATCCTTTTTACCATTATGCTAAAGCTTTTAAATGTCCACTTACCAGAAGTTATCCTGTGAGCTTCTTGAAGTATTTTTGTTTTTTAAAGTTACCTATCTCTCTCTCTCTCTCTCTCTCTCTCTCTCTCTCTCTCTCTCTCTCT